AAACAAAAAGCTAGTTGTATATTCTGATAAAACAAGTATCTGAGAAATACATCAACAGGAACACACTTTGGTCCTTGAACTAAAGTTGCAGAAATAAATGAGCCAAATTTTTTTTTCTTAGGCTTCTTCCTCCAGGTTTTGTCTGTGTCTNTTAAAATCTGTCAGTTCACAAATTTAGAAAATATTTACAAAAGCACAAATAAAACACTATCATCTACTCCTTATGAAGACCACTACTACCTCCTGGAAGTGAGCTTGAGTGCCACACTGTGAACTCTCAGCACTCCATCGACCTCGAGTGCGCTGCAGGATTACACAGATGATTTTCAGTCCCTAAGAGAAAGTCTAGTTTTGCATTTCTTATGAACCAAATGCTCTGTGTGCTTTTCTGAGAGATATTTCTGGAAAGAAAAAAAAATACTAGGCTGGATATTTGTTCTGATAATGCTGATGGAAATCCAGATTAAATTCATTAGCAACCACCAGAGTAAAGTTTTCCTTCACACTTTCTCCCCTCTCCTCTCATTGCTAAATCAAGTAATCAGGGGTCACTGAGCAAGTCCAGTTGATTGTTTTGTGTGCCGTGCATACTGACAGTGGGTTTTTCCCTCCTGTCTTCAGTATGCAACCCTGCTTCTACATTTATGATGGGAAAGCACACAATCAGTCTGAATTGGAGAGCTCTGAATAATACAGTTCTTGGAAAATGAAGGGTAGCCTGCATCGTGTCTCACAAGGGAGTTCAAACACTTTTCTTCTTCCACTTGAGAATGTAAAAGAAAAACATCCCAAACCCCTAAAATCCCAAAGTAACCCCATTATCCTCTTCAAAGTGGAGAACATTAATAAGGGTTCCTGCAACCTTAATGGACAAAACAGACTATAAAACAGAAAGAAAGGAGCTGTTGGATTTCATCTCCTACAAATTGCTATCCAATCTTATCATATTATTGATTTGCTTGCACTATATCAACTTTAAATCACCATAAACCACTGCCTAACACAGTTCTTTCACTGGCCAAGTGTTCTTAGAAGACAACTTTGATTATTTGGTGTGTCTCAGAAATCTATTAAGTTTGTATGAGATAAGACTGATAGATTCATGCAAGGCTCCACAAAAGTCTCCCTAAAAATCAATTCATGCAAAATTTGCAAAGTATTATCTTTTCAAAAGTTAATTTTTAGATGTTTTAAATTTTGTGCTGCATCAGTTCATGTTGAAGAACAAAAAACCCCTTCATTCCAATTTTGTTGGGAATAATTTTCAAGAAAAAATAATGTGACTGGATTTAACTCTTGCAAATGTTCACTGACCACCAAATGGTGAAATCCTTCAATAAAAATATTAAAACTCCCTCAAACTGAAATAACAAGTAGAACTCCCTTGGACTCATGTCCATTCTCGTGAGGATGGAAAGTCTGACCCAATCCACCAAGGGCCTATAATCTGAATTTCAACTGAACAGCCTGTTATTGTGGCCCTTGAGAGTTTACTGGATGCTGAATTTCATCTACCAGGAAAACTTGTTGGATTTATTAATTTAATTTTGCAAGAAACACTCCAGAGGACTAACAGTTAAACCAAGGAAGCTTTACTAAACAAAATAATGAAAATTAATTAATTAGCTGCCATATAGTGCTTCGATAGATGCACTGAATAAATCTGAGCTGATTTATCAGTCAAGTGCCTTTGTGTGGCAGGTATGTGAATTATCTTTCATTAACCTTATGCTACAAATGAAGGTGCCTGGATAGAGAAGTTAAATGACTTCCCAAGGTCATATCTAAAGCTGGCATTACAACTCAGGCGTTTACTGACTTTCAATCATTAAGAGATATTTTTTTAAAAAAAACATTGAAGGGATTCATGAGGTAAAGATCATGACCTGGAAAGGCACCATCACTTCTCTAACCTCAGTTTCAGAAGGCAGAAAAAAACTGAGAGGTGACTGCTGAGAAATGATTGGAAGGAAAATAGTCAGCCCTCCAAGCCTGGAGTGGTACCATCTGAATTCTGTTTTATTATATTATTATTTTTAATCTCCAGAGTCTGTATGACAGATAAAATAAATTTGATTTGTTTTGGATGATTTACATCATAGTAAGGTACCACCTTGCTCTGCGTTTTCAACAAAACCCATAGATAAACCTGGTTGTCAGTGAATGCCCAGAGAAATGACAATTCATCTTTGTGGTTATTAATGTTAAGATAATGGGGAAGGGAAAACATATATATATATAATGAAAACAGCTTTTGAGAGAAGATTTGAGTATTCTGCAATATGGACTATAAAAGGAAGTTAACCTCCATGAGCCTCATGCTTACAGCAGGTATTTTTTAAAATGCATTGGCCATGAAAAGAAAATTTTGCCATTTGTATTCATCAAATATCAAGAACTGCATTTTTTTTTTCCTCAGGATGTTAAAATGTAGGTTTTGTGTAAAGAAGTATTAAAATATGGATTATTTTTTTCCCGACCTTTTGATAGGCTTTCTATTGAGCTTGGTAAGACATCCAAGAAATTCAGATTCTGATTTTAAAATTGATTAATACTACTGAGTTTTCACAGTATTGAACTTGCAGTGCCAAATTCCTCTGACATGAATAAGTGCAACTCCACATACTTCAGTGGAGCTGTGTTTGCATATATTTGCAAGGAATTCTGGCCCCGTGCCTGGGAAAGGATCTTACATTTCATAGTCACTTGATTATGTCTCATCTTTAAACCACATTTTACTATTTGCAAAATACTTGACCCACAAAGCCACAGAAGCCCATCTGCTGAGATTCCATTGTGCATCAATAAGTAAAAAATGAGAAAACTATTTTAAGTGTAAAATCTAGTGGAGAAGGGACATAAATCTTTTCCAAATACTTATTTCCTTGTGCAGCCTGAGGAATTTGAAATCTGAGTTTCAAAATTTCACTTGCTCTAGAAATTAATTTCTTCAAGACACTTTTCACCTGAACCAGAGATAGTCCTTACAACTAAAAGGGCAAGATTCACCTAAAAGAACCCATCCTTGGAAAAGAATATGGATGAACCCAGAAACTAGTACCAGCTGTCCCAAACATACAAGAATCAATTAGGAATATGCTCCTAATACTCTGGAATAACCTAAATGGAAAAAAAAAAATCAAGTATTAAGCCCAAGACATCTATTGTTACTATCAGCACTGCTTTGTTGGCAGGGTACCTAAAGATGGCCACATAATGTTAAAAATCATTAACCAAACTCCAGTTTGGTCTAAAATATGAGTCTAATGTAATGTCAGGCTCGTAAAACCGGAGTTAGAAAACTGTAACTACTCTTTGGTTGGGTTTCATAGAATCACAGAACCATGAAACAGTTTGGATTGGAAGGAACCTTAAAGCCCATCTCATTCCAACCCCTGCCATGAGCAGAGACACCTTCCACTAGCCCAGGTTGCTCCAAGCCCTGTCCAACTTCGCCTTGGACACTTCCAGGGATCCAGGGGCAGCCACAGCTTCTCTGGGCAACCTGTGCCAGGGCCTCACCACCCTCACAGGGAAGGATTTTCTCCTAAGATCTCACCTAAACCTGCCCTCTGTCAGTTTAACACCATCGTGGTTCTTTCTTCTTCCAGGTAAAAGGTAGTGTGGGTTTTCCTTGTGAGTATTTTTTGGGTTATTTTTGGTTGTTTTGTGGTTTTTTTTAACAACACATCTAAAAGGTATTTGTCCTCCTTTCATGTCAATACCTCCTATGATAATTTTAATACACCTACTTAGTAATTTTTAACTTTTTAATAATGCTGTCATCACAAAACTTTGTTCCAAATCGGTGGAGGAAGTGACTGCTACAATACTAACCCCATATGTTCATTGAATATAAGACTAGAACTCTGACTGACACTATAAAATAACTGAATACTGTGGAGGGGTTTTCAGTTTATTTGGTTTTTTTTTTCCCTATTTCCTTTTTCATTGCCACAGCTCCAGTTACAAGGAGACAGTAACAAAGCTTTAGTCAATAGTAACCAAGAAACCCTTACTCCTTCCTTCAGCTCAGGCACTACAGAATTAGGATGAGGCCTGTTTTAAGAACAGAAGACATTCAAAGGTATAGTTCAATACTCGTTAAATCAGTAGTTCCCCAACAGCATTTTCCTTTGCCAAAGAACTTAGCAAGTGTGTTGCACAATCTTCAAAATAATGCTGGTGCAGAAAAGTCAATAATGCCACACAATATTATCAAGCAAATCACTGAGTTATATTTGTCTTAAAGAAACAGAAGTATTTTTTCATAGTTCTTGATCAGTTAAAGGACAAACTGAGATGGACATTAGCATTTTAATAAAAGTCCATTCAATGTGGATCCAAGGTTTCAATCACTATATTTTATACTCCTCATGGTAATAAACAAACTAATAAACAAATAAATAAATAAATATATTATATTTAAATTTATTTATAAATAAATAAAGCTACTTCTATATCATCCCTGAAGACTTGAAATTACCATTGGTTGACTTTGCACAGTATGTCTCTTCAGAAAGAGAAGATACTATAAATATATATATTTTTATATGATATACAGACCTTTCGAGACTTTATGTGTTCTTAAGTCTATGACTTCTCTAGATGTGATTTTCCCTGTTTTAGTTCAGACTGACAAGTCTAGAGCAGCCTTTGGCCACCAGATACAGCACTGTGAAGCCCCTATTTGGCTTTTTACTTCATAGAGATTAAGATCAAATGTATAGTTAGTAAACCTGAACTGAAATTTACTTCTTGTCGCTCGTGCTTTTTGGAAAAATACTGGAAATACCACTTTTATGGTGCTCAACTGCTTTAATGAGCTGCTAAAACAGCACGTGCTTTCCTCTGCCAGTCATCCAGGCATTTCCTGTGCAATCACTGGGATAAAGCTGGCCAAAACTCTTGAAACTATAATTGCAACATTTCATCCATTTTTTTTTGCTTCTCCTAGAGATGGAAGATGGAAACCTGGCTGAGTCAATAAGGTCACTTACCTCAACTAACTTGTTGGCGTGTTCACGGAAGACCTGAGCGTATTCCTTCACTTCCTTCTCATTCCCACTTTTTGCAGCCTCAATGAGAACCAGTAACGGGACATTGGTCTCCAGGAATGAATCTGATATATGATCCATCACTGCCTTCCGTAGCTGTGACAAAAGAAAGCAGACCAGTAAATAAAGGAGAGTTATCCATATCCATTCCCACTATTCTTGGCTATTCCTATTTAAGCGTTGATGTCTCACATCTCATGGAAGTTTGCAACTTTTTTTCCTTCTTTTCTCCAAGTTAAATATTTCCAACAAGCACACAAAATGAAACACCTAAAGGCCCAGGCTCTGCCAAACCCTCGTGGGATTCATGCTGGCATACACCTAATCCTACTGGACTGAATGGATCTATACAGGATGATGGTGATTACCTGCCTAAGACATTGCAAATTGATGAGAACTGAAAGCTCCCCACTACCTGAAAAAAACAGTTCGGCTCACTTAAAAGCCAAATATGGATTAAGGAGCTTAACTTCAAGCAACCATTAAAAATATTAGCTTGAATATTTCTAAGCCTTCTTTAATTCCTGCACTGAATAGTATTCTGTGCAATAATTAATATCTCATGTAGCAGATGCCTTGTGCTTCATATTCTTTTTCAAATACTTTCAGCAGGTATAAACAGAAAACCCATTTAAGCATTTTCCAGGCGGATTAGAAAACACACCGTAGTTTATTACAAAGGAAAAAAAACCCACATCCTATAAGTTACTGAAGATTTAACACCTGTTACTTCATAAAAACATCTGTTTGAAACAATATTACTGTAAGAATGATGCCACTAACTTCTTCTCTACTTTATTGATAACCACTAATTAGTGTCAAACTTCACTAAAATTTGAAAGACAGCCAGAAAGATGACTGAAATCTTAAATAATTCTTCCTGGAAGCATAACTGCTCTGTAGGATTGTGGATCAGAAACATTTTGAGTATGCCTTCCCCAGCTTTTTGGTTGTTAAGAATGAAAAACTGTGGACTGGAACACAAGCTGGGAGCTATTCAGCCTGGAGGCCTGGGTAGCCATTAGTCTCCTTAAATCATACATTTTTAGTTGGATGAAACATCCAGAAAGGTAATTTTCTCTGTTTTGCAGTCCAGATAAGAAAGCTTTAGCTAGACAAGGTGTCATCAAAACACCCAATCATACTGAAAACTGGTATATTGTTAGGCACTGTAAATACACCAAGATGCATTTGCTGCTTGATGGCAGCAATTCTCAGCTCTATTTGAATAAGGGCAAAGCTAACTTTGAATATTTTCATTCAATCCCTGAGTGGTGCAGTAAAAACAAGCAAAGCAAAATACCATATATGTGTTTGTGTTTGTGTGAGGTGTTCCTTTTATTTCCATCACAACTACAGCAGTCAGTGTATTAAACCCAGCAGTTCTCAACTCCCCTGAAAAATTAATTCTACTCAGATTCCACCTGGAACGTTTTTCTCCACTTCCAAAATGATTAAAGGGGCTCAGAATAGCTAAGTCAGTAACACATGCAAACAGGCAGAGGGAAAAGACAAAAAGAAAAGAAGAAGAATCTATCAGAGACCTGCCAAGAGTTAGGAAGCTGGTGTGTGTTTGCCACCACCTATTACATTTACATCTTGTACTCTTTCTTTTTTTCCTCTCCTCAATCTGCTGCTATCCACTTGCTGACTCTTATTTTATTCTTGCATTAAAAGCTCTTTTGGACCATCCTTTGGGTCTGTTTGCACAGCATCTCACACAGTGAGATCCTCTAACTTGAATAGTTTTCTCATAATAAACACTAATATCGCTTCAAATACATCAAAGCATTGCAAAAACCCCTCATATTCTAAGATGACAAGAGTCAGAAAATAGTGCGCCAGCACAGCACCCTGCATTCTGTGGCTGATAGATTTCCAATCACTATGTACATCAATCCCCTAACTTGAAAATTGAGACACGTGGTGAGATTCTTGGGGTTGTCCTGTGCAGGACAACCAAGAGCTGGACTCAATGATCCTTGTAGGTCCCTTCCAACTCAGGATATTCTGTGATTCCCCATTAAATGAAGGGTTTCACCTGTAGCCAGCATTAATGGAGACACACTGCCAGAGAAGGTGCATCATAAACTTGCTAAATCACCTTTTGCAGATGTCCATCTACCAGTGCTTGCTGGGAAAATCTGCTCTGGGGTCAGATGCCTCACTTGTGTACCTGTAGCTAGACTTTGATGCCCATTGTACTGAAACAGGCCAAATGGTGGCATTTCCAAAGGAACACACAAAGATTTTGAAAATCCCATGTGATTTCCATCTCCTACTCAGCGAAAAATCCTTAAGAAAATCCACTTGCTCGAGTTCAATATGTCAGTAAAACCTGCTGTCCACTGCACTGAGAAAAAACTTACTTTAAATGCTAAATGAACACTGACACTTTTCTGTTTGCATTGTTCCATAAGGACGTATCAGTTCCAAAGGGTTTTTATTCAATTCAACTTTTGATCAAAGTTAATGTGGTGTTATAGATCTGGCTATAACAATATGCCCCATGGAATTCTAAGAAAATCTCAGGATGTTCAAGGAAGCAGCTTATTTTCATCAGTGTTAAATATCTTCAATCTACAACCACATACCAGAAATCAATAAAAAGGACAGCAAGAGCATCAGCTAACCAGCAATTTAGGATTTCACATAGCAAATATACAGTAGAGTTCTATCTGAATCAAAATTAATGAATTAAATGGATATCTCATTTCTAATGGCAACTGTGTGTTGCCTTATGAGGTTCATAATTGCAGCAGTTGAAAAAAAATAAATCTGAATTCTGACTGCCACAGTTTTGATAAATACAAAATTAATGAATTCTATTTCCCTCTGCTGTGTTAATCATAGATATCAGCAGCATATTTCTGCCCCCTCCTGTAAACAGGAATTATAATTTCTTTAGAAATTTGTTATCTGAGTTTTAGGATGCCCTTGCATTGAAGCTGAAAGGTGTAGTTAACGGGTTTTATGTACGCAGGAGACCACAAATTTTGCCATCCTTCACCACAAGCTATAAAGAATGACTTGACAAAATCATTTGTTAAATGTGACAGGAGTGTGAAGGCTAGACATTCATCCAACAGCTCAAATGGATACATGACAAGGTAATATTAATGGCACAAGACGAGACATTTGAAAGTATTGGCTCCCCATTACCAGTCTATTTGATCCAATTAGGGCTATTCATCAAGGCAAATAACTAGTGGAAAACTAATCTTGTATGTTCCCCTGCAGAGTGCAACAAAGTCCAGCCAAAGTGATGGCTTTGCATCCAGGGATTTCACTGTTTCATACAAGTAACATCAGCTTAGAAGGGAACGGGAGAAGTCTTGTGGCTTGAATTTAAATGCTCATAAAACAAGCAGCAAAAGCACATCGTGTTTTTATTCTCAAACCAGCACGAGAGCTCCTGCACGTACCTACATTAGCAAATGTCTCTGCAATGCCTTAATTTATGCTGCATTCTGATGTAAATATTATGACAAAAACTATTACTCATAAGACAATGCTTTAGGTTTTTCCCCTCCCCACACTGAATTTTTAAGCTAGAGGTGAATTCAAAGCGTGGGTAGTTTCCACTACATGAAACTTCATTTGTTAGAGGGGGAAGCACATTAAATTAAGGTCTTGCTTAATTCATTTTGTCACAGTAGAAAACTTTATTAATCAACATAAAACTAAAAGAATAATAAATTTGCCAGGGTGGCCAACAAAAAAACCCCATAGAATGAAAACATCAAAACCTGCAAATATTTTTAAAAGCAATGAATGGTGTAGCACAAGGCAGATTTTATGTCTTTCCAGTTCAGTCAATTCAGCCAGTTTATGGTGCACAGTCAAGTTGCTGTTTTTGATAGCATCATGTTGTACTGTTCTAAGCACTGTTTAGGGCTGTTTTATCATTGTTGGTTCACAGCTATAATTGAGCTCAAAGAGGTTAAATGCCCACCAAAATGATGTTTTCCATGGCTATATAACAATTTTAGGACCAAAATGTCTCAGTGCTACTTACAGTCTAGTAAAGAATTAAATGTCTAATCCTTACACTGGAAGGTAAAGTCACAGCAGGAGATTAATGACTCTAACAGGTTGTTAAACTTTATAAAGCCTGGCAGTATCTGTAACAAAAGTTTACCAAGGAGCACCTTATTCACCATTTTCCATTTAAAGTGCACTGCAACTCAACTCCAGTTTGCACCTGCAGAGCACTCCCAAACAGGTATTAATTTAATTGAAAGGGATGAAAATAAAGTTTTCTCCACTGTAGTTAAAGTGTGTCACCTCCAATGTGCTGTGAAATTGAGTTCTGGAGAATAGGGCAGTGACCATTAGAAGCTTCTGCAGTGTAGTGCTAAAGAGAAAGTCCCAGTCAATTCTGCAAAGTACGTCATATGAAAAGGTGATAAAAAAATGGTAACTTTGGGGATGTGGACAGTAATGCCATCAGTTATGTCTTGATGGATTAAAGAGCAAAAAAGATTAACATTTAAAGCATGTAGCACTTGGACACTCAAACTACAGATTACTGGAATACATTGAATAAAAATATTTAAGATTTGAGCCTAAGATAAAAACTCGGGTAATACTTCAGAGAGTCATGAAGTAGCTGGGGCTGGAAGGGACCTTAAAGATCATTTAGTTCCACACCTTGCCATGGGCAGGGCCACCTTCCACTAGCTCAGGTTGCTCCAAGCCCTGTCCAACCTGGCCCTGGACACTTCCAGGGATCCAGGGGCAGCCACAGCTTCTCTGGGCAACCTGTGCCAGGGCCTCCCCATCCTCACAGGCAAGAATTTCTTCCTTACATCTACTCTAAACTTTCTCTCTTTTGGTTTGAAATACTTAATATGTTTTTACGTGTGTGAGGTTTCTTCTCTCTAAAGAGAAACTTCCCTAATCAGGAAAAAAAAGGGGGTGAATTTACTGATAGAAAACAATTGAAATGACAACTTTTGACCAGAACTTTAAGACAGCATAAGACACACACACAGAAAAACATTCTATCTAGTCACAGGCCACCGCAAAGGCTTCCTCAAAATGGCAGATGACATGAAGCACAGAAGGAGCCAGTTACCAAGCACTTAGGTTTA